TTCCGTCGCGCGGGGGAACGAGGACGAGAAAATAAAACCGCGTGACGGATTTATACGCATTTGCCAAACATGCTTTACGAGCTTGGCGTTTTTTTTTTTTTTTCCTGCGAACGGTTCGATGGCGTCGCGTTTCAATTGCTCGTCGCGCGCGTCACCGTGAAAGTACAAACTCTGTGATTACGTGCAATCACCGGGCAGGTGTACACAATCGCCAAATTAGCCATGGGAAGCGCGAATAATGTCCTAATTATGAACATACATCAGCGGTCGCGTGCAGTCGCCGCGGAAGTATGGCTAATGTATAAATCCTTATTATTTATTGAATATTCATCGTTGGATCTGTGCTCGTTGCACGGAGGGCTGCGTACATTCCCCAACGGATGGCGATTGCGTACGTTTAGATTCCGTTCGCGATAAAACGTGTATGTTGTTCGTTCGTTAACGCTCGACGCGAGAGAAGAGAGAGTCGTTGGTTTCGAACGATTAAAATCTGTCGGCAACTCGACGCGGCCACTCGTGCCTTAATAGGCGTTTAAGTGCTACGCCGAGGCGGAAATTTTATTCCGCTAATTGTACCAGAATATCGCCGTGTTACTCCGGGTCGGACGCGGGCTTCTTAAAACTGAGAAACTCGAATTAAACTTAACGACGCCTTCGGCGAAAGGGGACGCACGGAACAGGTCTACGAAGTGGAAAGTTCATCTTATCGAGTGCAGTGTTTTTCAGGTTACCGCGATAAACGCGAATGTGAACGCGATACGCGAATTACGAAATTTCTTTTTTTAATTGTCTGTAACCGTCGAAATTGATCGCATTTCTCTTCGTTTTTTCCCCCCCATGAGCCCCGTAAGCGGATCACTCGAATCCGTATTTCGAGGCGGAGAACTTTTTCCGAAGGATAGGGAAGGAGTTACGAGTTGTTTGCCGAAGCGGCGAGCAAAGAAGTTCGTCCAAGTGGACGTGATTACGCGAAGAAAACGAATAAGAGGAGGCTCGTGAAATGGGCTGGGGAAAGGGGAGGGGGGAGGGGGTCTGATTGCTAAAAATTACGGCGCTCACGCTTGCTTCTGTACTGTACAGATAAGCCCGTCGATCTAGCGTGAGATTGCGTCTCCTTGTTAGAATTTGTAACAGCTGCCGCGTCCTGGGACATCTGCCCGAACCAGTCGAAACGCTCCATGTTGCCCCTCCAGATAAGCAGACATGGAAACGATCAAACTTCGTGTGTAACGCGAGCTAATTCGCTATTAAAAAGTATACACCTCGATAATAAAACATTTTCTCCCTGGACCACCTAGCGTTGGAATTAAATTTTCAGTACGAGAATTACCGATACGTATAATAGAAACGATCTACGCGGACTGTTTCGCGCAACCGGCACCAGCCACAGAAAAAAATTTCATTACGCAAACTTAAACGGTATCGAGCGGTGCGTAACTTGTTTAATATTATAATTACATCGTGATAGTAAAATTTTTGGAAACACGCGGGGTTATAAATTTTACCATTGGCCGGACTACCGTGAACGAACAAGCCTCGATAAATCCTGCTTTACGACCTAATCTTAATTAAAATCTGACTTTAACATGTGGAAACTCGCGAATGAATTATGCACAGGATGACTCGATCCGATCTATAACTAGATTCTTCTCGTTGTTATGACGTTATAGGTTCCGTTATCGAGTCGATATAGCGTACGATCGAAATTTAGTGGCTCTCAACGACGTCGGCGAAAACGCGAACGCGAACGTTTGGTCTTGTTCGAACAAAGAATACGCCTCGCCATCGGAACGTATTAATCGTAATATTTACCCTACTCGTATCGCTGGCCAATTTATTTCTTCGGCCATTTTGCCAGTCATCGAAAGCAACGAAGATATTCAAGCTGCCTATGATAAATGGAACACCCCTTTACGGGTCTGTAACGCGGGCGTACAAAAGGAACACGGGAGCGGGAAGTAAATTTAAATTTATTTCGCTGGCAACTGACGTGCGCGTCATAAATGATATACGGTCGGGACGAAGGTAGGGGGGGGGGTTCTATTTATTTAACTGAGATTTCACGGACGTTAAAATTCGTGGAGTTTGCGCTGTCTGATTTCACGTTGTTAAACGGAATGACGTGCTCGCGTTTCACTGACAATTGTTCGACCGACGAATCCGTTATCTGAAACAGTCTGTGCCGGTGCACGTTAATTGCGCGGTTTACTTCGATGATACTTTCGGTTACGATAATGGCGAAATTGTCATGCTGATCGTCTCGTTGATCGTCGCGTCTTGTTCCGTTCGATAAAGATTTACGCACGGCGAACGATGGTTGGGGTGCCATAAACAACAGTATCGGTGATGTTTCGCGTCGTCAACGTCCCTATGGACGAGATAAGGCTACGAACCATGGAATAAGAGCATTTTTCCAGAAACTAACGGATTGGAGAAATAGAAAGATCAGGGCGTACTGGTTCAATCAGAACGATTAGAGAGTCGTAGCAACAATGCATTTCGTTATTACAACGTAGCATGGATAGGGGCAGGCTGTACGTAATCGCTTTTAGCTGCGGCTATCAACTAACCACTGACGTCGATGATCGGTAGCGCTACGAGCTAATCGGAATTAGCTTGGATCATTGGCTAAGCACAAGGCCGGTAGATATGGCGCCCAGCGTGATGGTAATCGCGATTAGCAGACTCCATCAACCGGCCGCAATGTCGATTTTTCGTTAACGATACGTATTTCTATGGAAGCCTCGGGACCTATTTACCCACTGACGTATTTCCGCGCGAACGTATCCCAGTTTCGTTTCTTCAGTTACGCTCGTGCGTATGAAAAGGGAGCGAAACAGGGTCACCGGAGGTTTCCTTTCAACCTCCGATACGTTCCCTGTATCGTGATCAACGCGTCGCTATCTGGCCATTTCAATTTCTATTTCAAAATTACGTTCTCGGCTCGTTTTATAACAATCGCTATTCGTAAACGTTGCAGTACAGACTTTTCAACCTGATAGCACCGCCCAGTCTTAGCATCGGTTCTTCCATGTTTCGATAAATCGTATTCCGTTGGAAAGTCTCCTCCCTCGTTGGTCTTTTGGGCAGAAAATGGTCCCGGCTGGTAACAGTTGCATCGACAGGTTTGGCTCGTATAGACATCGTGTCCTTTGCGCGACGCGTCAACGGAATATTAGATGTGTACCGAGTGACATCGAGGCGAGGACGTTGTAAGCGAAATTTACGGAATTCGGCTCGAATAAACGGCTGGGAACGCACGTGTGCCTTTGGGACGAGCAGACGCGTATCGGTCATAGGTGCAGCGACCGATGCTGCAACGGATCGCAATCAACATAACGGCGAAATAAACGTGCACGTGGGCGTTCGGAATGGCGCAAACTGTGAGTGACACGTACGCGTCGGCTCATCTCGCGAATTGCTCTGTTACAACGCACGCGTGTTACATCCCTTCAGGTACGTGTCACCCTTTTCATGGTCTTTCGAGCCGTACGAGTGCGTTACTCTTGCTATTCTTTATCGTTTCTCCAGCATTTCATACGAGATAAAGTTGCGTCGATATAGAGTTTCCATCGAACAAAGCTTGAAGTCTTTGAGACTATTGATATTATTTTTTTTTTTAAGGTCGAGTGCATACAGATTTTAAAAACGAGAACAAAGTCCTCGTAAACGTGGAATAAAAACAGGTCCTTCAGACTTTGATAATCCTTGTTGCGTGACCCATTTCTGCAGTTAAAACTGTTTGAGCTCATTGAGTGTCAATTGTGTTATATTGTTTGGGAAAGTTAGAGATTTGCGCTGGTACGGTATCGTGATTCCCCAAGAATGTGTAATAAAACTGACAAATCACAGATAACTCCTTTGTACTGGTAATTTGCAATCTATTGAAAGCCACGTATTTATATTAAAATATCGGACGGTTAAAAAAATATCGGACAAAAGCGTAAAATAGAACAATCCCGGAATCTATCAACGACAAAGAACGCTGATTTATTCATCCGTCGCAAAATCGTAGCGCAAAGAACGAACGTGAAAGCAAAGTAGAAGACAAACGGAACGGGATGTAAGCTACGTTCGTTATTCATGAACCGATATTTCTATGACTGGAAAAACCAGCTACGTCGTCATCAAAATATATACTGATCTTGGTATTAGAAGATACCCGTGAGAAAATAGTGATTCAAGGATCGAATCAAAGCGGAATGAAATTTCACTCCCGATCAATATTCATTTCCAGACGGATCTTCCGTTTTTCCTTCGAGCGCAAATAATCCGGGCAACTTTCATCTCTTGGAAATTTAAATTCGCCCTTCTGCGCGCCGCGAAGTTACGTATCGATTCGCGCTAAAAATACAGGTATCGTTCTCCAGGGACGCCACGGTTCTCGATAGCCCAGGTATAATTCTACATTCTGGTAATTCCGCCATTCGTTAACCGCCTCCGTTTCGTTGAGAACCGGCGGTCGTTGCAGTTATGAATTCTAATGCTAGCGCAAACTGCGCTCCGTGGTGCACCGAGTCTTTCGGTAATTTCGGTCTCTCCGTAGCGGAGCGCGCGCGTATACGTACAGCGGGTGGTATCGTCGACCCTTAACAGTCCCCTTCTCCGTCCATTGCACCCAAAATTGCGTCGCAGTCGCTGTGAATCGACAGAACGATAAGTTCCGTTGCCCTCCATGGCAGGTTGCCGGAGCCAAGGTCTCGATTTGCAACCCGCCAGGCGCGCTATGGCTGTTGAAGCTCGTCGACGGGTAAATCCCACCACGCCCACGCCCGCGTTGCTGCCGCGAACGCAACAAAACAAACGTCGATGCACATCCCTTTTGTAGCGGACTCGCGGGGGTCTGATTCCGCGTGCTTCTTGGTCGATTGGCTGCTACCAGAAAGAGGTCGGATTGGTGTCGACGCGGGAGAATCCATCCGAGTGGGGTATTTCCGCGTGCTCGTCGAACAACGAGCCGGGAATTCGATTTTACAGGACGATGGAGTGGATTTACTCACGTCTATCGAGATTTCCGTGGCGGCGCGTCGTCGGTGCCTCGTCACTTCCTCCGCGGATCGATCGCTGATGGTGCATCAATGTGTCGCTCCTGATTGCTGACTCGAAGATTTCAGGTTGTAAGTAGCGACAGCGATCCCTGGGCACGCGTGACACTGAAACAGCCAAGATGGATGGTTCGCCATTAAATCACGAGGTCAGACAGGTTTATGGGCGTGATCGATATCGGGGACTCGCGAGCGTCGGCCTTTTTGTCGCGTCCAACCCCCCCTCCCCCGCGGGAGTATTATTAAATTCCTGATACCGGCGGCCACCGTCGACGCTGTCACCGAATGATAATTAACGCGAGCTATACATTTTTTTATGGCAGTTTTAATTGCGCGCGTGCGGCGTGTAAAGCGTCCACTTTAATCAGGTCGAACCAATTTTCGGCCGCCAGGGGGTTCCATTCAAGTAAACTTCGGTGAAACTTGCCAGGGTGTCCGAGGCCTGCGCGATTAGTTTTTCGCCTGGCTGCGGGCGTCATTTTAATTTCGTTCGACCGCCAGATGATGATCCAGTTAGAAATACGAGAACTGGGGTCAGACTGGAAATTGAGCTTTTTTAATAAATTGCTATTATTATATCCTATCGACAGGTTAGATTCGATGTTTCAGGTTTCTGGGTTATTTGAATTGAAAATTGATTTTTTTTATTAACCCCATTTGTTGATCGTTAATGTTTAACGACTGTTGGAATGTATTCCCTTTGTGTCATTTGAAATCCACCACTCATCTCGAGGGAACGGGTTTCAAAAAGTTTGGAAACCAGTGGTCTAAAATAAATATCTGCAGCACATTTGCTTGAAAGCATTTCGGTACAGGCTTCGAAACTGTCAAAGGGAGGATATCGAGTCACGAGATATTCCATCTTAACCGAATAACTTCGGGCCACGAGATATATCTACTATGAGCGCGAAAGGGTTAATTGAGGATAGGTCCAAAAGTAGATTTGACTGTATACATATATGCAACGTTGTAATGAATGCAGCTGAAACTTTAACGAAGCAACAGATTTCTGTCGAGGTACTAGTTAAAAAATTTGATATTATATTTTCAAGAATAAAGTTAGCCATTGTACCGGGTCGTATGGGTTGTACACACTTCGAAGGACTGGAGGGTTGGAAGTTGGTATAAACAAGCCTTTTAATGCAAGGAGATTAACAAAAGTCTGTGGAAATAGCAGATCCTTTAAGAAATCTATTTACCATTGGCATGATGGTTTTGTTAATGGGGGTGATTATGAAGAAAATAAATACAGGTAACGGGCAAGCTCGTTCCGAGGATTATTTTCCTGGTTCTCTCATTAAAATATCCTTATTTGAACCCGAGCTATGAAGGCGAGGTAATTACTTTTCATTCAACCCTCGTAATAACTATGACGCGCAAATAGAGTATTGTGAGAGTTGCCAGTGTGTTACATTTTTAAAGACTCTCAATTACCTTCAGCTGCCTTCAATACGGTTAATTACACGTTTTAGAAATGTCCTTTCCGAGTCTGCCCCAAATTGCGGACATTTCATTATATTATGCGAACATTATCGTACTGAAATTGTAGAAAAATTCTTTTATAATGGGCTCTGTACCGTGAACGTTGCAATACTGTTCGTTTAAAAACAATTCTAAATTACTGAGATTGTTAAGCTTACTTTTGTTAACAATACGAGCCAACTTAGAACCGTGAACGTTGCAGTCGTGTCACAACTAAACACCACACACGCTGAACTAAAATTGAGAAACTATTTAGAATGCGGTGGACGCTTGCCTGCAGAAATTGCTTTGTCAAGCTTGAAACCAGCTATTGGAAAATCAGCTTATTAACCATAACACGAGCGGCGCAATCTTTCCAAACATCGACGGGACGTGGAAAGAAGGGAAGATAGGCGCAACAAAGCAGAATATGAGGTCAATCGGACAGCGAACGGAAGTAAATCAATGCGTAGGAAAATGAACGAAAGTCGATGATAAAAGAAGACTGATTTACGACGGTTTATCGCCGAACGGAATGAATGGAAAGGCAGTCCATCGAGTCTATCGCGGGAAAAGTCTGCGGGATTACTACGTTGCGTGTCGGAGTAACTTTACGAGCATAATTTGCCTGGTCGCGATAAAAATGTCTGATCGGGTCGGAACACGACGTCGAATCTTTCGAATCGTAATAACGGGTTCGTAAAAAATTATGTTTTCTTGCCACGTTTTCTGGTCGCGCAATAAAGGCGCGGAATAAATAAATAGATAGGAGTATCCTCGTCGTGAGAGCGCGTTTTATAGGTGAAAAGAATCTCACACCGTGAACATCATTCAGGGGCAATCTTTATAGCTTCGTGCGGCAGCTTTTTCCATTCACAGAGGAAGAAGATCGCGCGGACAATAGGCACGTAGAGCGGTTGGATTAAAGATAACGGGGAAAACGTTTAGTGGCGTCGACATCTAACAAGCCAGACTTCAGTCTATCCACAGACCCTCGAATCGAGCGTTTATAGACGTTCGAATCTCGTTTTACGTCCGTCGAAACATACGCGAGAAATTGTCTGGGGATAGATGGTGGACCTAGTGTTTCACAATCGTCTCGAATTCAGAACGAAGGAGCGCGAGACGCGTGGAACTGGGCTAGAAGGAAGCCAGAAAAAACGAAAAGGGTACGGTCGTCTGGTTGGTCGAAATTCAAAGCCCTCGATGACAACGGGCAACGAGGGTAAGGTTAGATCGCACTGTACTTACGTGTACGCGAAACCGTACTTACGGTCTCCGTGTGCACGCAGTTGTTCTCTAAACGCGTCTGAGGGAAAGGGGGCGTGCTTAAAAGGGTGGTTCATCGGCGCTGCGAAGGTGACGCTACGTGCACAACCCCTATACCGGGTGTACCGAAATATATCACGGTTAGCCCTTTGCCAACCGCGTAATCACACTCGATAAACTTCTATTCGAGGCCGAAGTTTCAAAGACACATTTTCCCTCTTCCTTGTGTCTTCAATATTCTTCTATTTTTTAGCCTTCGTTCACACGTTCTGTGTATTATTAGCATCATAAAGCGAACACCAAAGGCAGTCTTTAGCATTACAAATATGTAAATGGCGATATTGTGCATGTGAATGAACTTCTCATGCATGGGATGTGAATGACAAGTGCTCGGGGTTGTGCAGAATAGATCGAGTGGCTGTTGGAGTCAAGGTTCGGTGTCGAGCGAAGTCGAGCGGTGTCTGAGGGTAAGAAAGGAAGTATATGGCACGAGTGTGTACGATAGTTTAGGACGTGATAGTCGTCGAGTCTGAAGGCGTTATTACTACATATTTATTTTGCCTTTCCACTGGTAAATTAAGAAAAGCATTTGCTAGGATTCTAAAGGTAATTTCAAAGCACGAAACCGAAGTTTAACCCCTATTATCCGAGGTTGTGGCTGGCGATAGCGGAACACATTGTATAAGCGACACGTTGGTCTTTAACGCGCACACCTCCGGTGTGTTTGTAAGTTATGTATCGCGTTCTTTTGAGTACACCCCTATTTCTCCGCGACGCCATTCTCATCCCCCGACACTTTTTACGCGACCCTCCCTTCGCCTTCTGGCTCGAGTCATCTTGCTCTTTCCCTGATTGTGTGCGGATGTGTTCGCGTGCTTCCAGACTCTTAAACAACCGCGTCGCGCGGTTACAATGGAACATTATGGGACAATCGACGATGCATGCCGAGGGGCCGTCGAATGAAAGTGTCCTCGTTCGTCGCTAAATTAGTCTGGATTGTACCGGAGCCAATGATCTCTGCGGCTAGGCGAAGATTCCTGTTCCTTCTTCCGCAATTATCCTTTCTTTTTAACGCGACTGTGTCCTCCGTCGAATCTTTTTAGCGATTCAAAACGCACGATCGGCGTGAAAAGTATTATGAAAACTCTGCACATCTTCCGGTGACTAACGTATCTGCAGCGTGTCTAATGGTTAGAGTGTCGGTATTATGCATTTATGGAATATGCTAATATAGAAAATATATACTAAATGTATGCAGAGCATACACACGTATGCAAAGTGAAATGTTAATATTATTATATTAATCTAGGAAATATATATTCAACGTATATGTTGTGTGCACTTTGGGTATTAATATTTTCTATAAAGGCATAAAATCCACAGTCTGGCGATGATCGAAGAGCAAGGTTCCGGATCGAAACAAAGCATCGATTCAACCGATATTGTAATTAGCAATTTTCCGCGGTGAAAAGTTTCATGCAGACGGTATTAGGGGCATTAGAGAATCAAAAAGTTGTAGTCCCCGGGCGGTGCGTTATGCAAACCATTATAATCACTGGCTACAGCTAGTTAATTTCGAATGAACTTGTTTAAACTTCTCGGAACTCTCTGCTCCGGTTTTTGCTCATTATTTTTCGCAGGTTGAAGTTTTTAACAATTTAAATTCTACCGATATTACGTACCAATCTGTTCTTCGTCCATCTGGTTGAGAATAATAAGCTTTTGTAAATGCAATATCGATATTATTCGATACTATCTACGAATCTAAGGGATGAGCTTGCTTATAATTTAGGTAAACGTTTCCAAAAGAGAGCACAGTAGTATTTCAAACTGGTTATTACTTCGAAGATCGCCAGGAAATCTGATAATCACTGCATTTCTCATCTCGCTATCATTCTCATGCATCCTCCATACGTACGTAGCGCCATAACTAGCGTTTCATTCGAAACAATTCAGACGCGAACGATAACTTTTCGGCGAGCACTCCCTCGTGCAACGGCGATAAACGAAGTTCGCTTTGTCTTGAGGCTGGCGTGGCATAAGATACAGAGTGGCACAACAAGGTTCACGGGCATCCGTTATCTGGAGCACCGCTATCGAGCGTCGAGGAACACCGCTATTGAACCGCAGTGTAAGACCGCAGAGATCGTCACGGTTACGGTGGAGCAGATTTCTCAGAAACGAACTAAAAAGAATACGTTCCCTATTAAAACGATACAAAATTTATTCTAATCATACTTGTTTATATTTTCCATTGTATCTTCATAAAAGAATTGCCAATCGTACACGATTTCCTGATAGAAACAAGTCCAATCACGGGCTCGTCCAAAGACGCGCATGTCTGCGAAATTGCTAAAGTAAATTCGTTCGGAAATGGT